TGTGAGTTGGCCGTACGGTGCGAGCAGCAGACAGGAGAAGGTCACGGGCAGAGGGGAGAGACCGAGAAGAGGCATACCTATGGATCTGTGAAGAGATATAAGAAGGGTTAGAATTGTTCAGTGCTTTATAGGTTTGGGTTAGCACTTTGAATTGACTCCTATAGGATACAGGAAGCCAATGTAAGGACTGACAGAGGGGTGAAGTGTGAGAGGACTGACTAGAGAGGAAAATCAGTCTGACGGCTACATTCATTACAGACTGTAGTGGGGGTAATATGGCTTTTGGGAAGACCAATTAGGAGAGGGTTACAATAATCCCTGCAGGAAAGTAGTAGAGCATGGACAAGCTCCTTGGTAGCATCTTGAGTAAGAAAGGGGCAGATGCGGGCTATGTTTTTAAGATTACAGGATTTGGCAACATACTGGATGTGAGGTGTGGCGAACAGAACATCGCAATTGGCTCCTGGAGGACCCTGCTTGCCAGCCGCCTGCCTCGGGACTATGGCCCCTGCAATAAATCTTTGATAATATACTTCAAAAAGGCTCTGTTCATGCAATTGGGATTATATGGTTCAGGAACTAAACAGCCACATGAACCAGAAACCACCCGGGGGCTTGGTAAGCTTTTGTGGGGGTTTCATGTGTTTTGGGGGTGCTTTTGGGGTTTGTAACATTGTATTTTTTTGTACCTGAGATATAATTTAGTTATATGCTTGTGTGCTCAGGTAATTATCTTTCAGGCACGGGGGAGGAGTGTGTGGAATGTTTGCTTTTAACTAGTCTTCTCTCAGGTCCAGTTGGGAATTCCCCTGGAATGTGATTAAGGAAACCCCTTGCATGGGAGCTGGATCCAGATTTTTGTCTGGGGTGAGAAGGGACAGCAAGACCCAAGCCAAGCTATGGCAGCTAAGGGGCTAGGGTCGTTATGGTGTCCGGTGTAGTGCTTTGGGTACTCGGCAACAGCTAGGAAGCACGATCGTCGGAGGTACCCAGTTGGAGGGCCAGGTGGTCCGCCACATGTGGCTGAAAGGTAAGGCCAGAATCAAGTATGAGGCCATGACAGTGCACTTGCAATGATGGACTTATGGGGATACCACTAACGTGAAGGGAGAGTAAAAGAGGAGGATGAGTATTAGGAGGAGGAAAGACACAAGAGCTCAGTTTTAGAGAGATTGAGTTTCAGAAAGCGGGACGACATTCAGTCAGAGATGGAAGAAAGGCAAGCAGTGACACAGTGCAGGACGGCAGGGCAGAGGTCCAGGGAGGAGAGATATATCTGGGTGTCATCAGTGTACAGGTGGTAGTGGAATCCAAATGAGGTAATAAGTTTGCCAAGAGAGGCAGTATAAAGAAAAATAAAGAGAAAATAGAAGGGAACCAAAGACAGAGCCTTGAGGGACTCCAACTGAGACAGGACGAGGCAAGGAGGTATAATAAGAAAAAAAAACACTGAATGAGCATTGGAAGAGATGAGAGGAAAACCACAAGAGGACAGAGTCACAGAGACCGAGTGATTGAAGAGTTTGAAGAAGGAGAGCATGAACAATGGTTTCAAATGCAGCAGAGAGGTCAAGGAGAATTATTATGGAGTAGTGGCCTATGGATTTAGCTGCGATTAGGTTGTTAGTAACTTTGATAAGAGCAGTCTCAGTAGAGTGGAGGGGGTGGAGGCCAGATTGAAGAGGGTCAAGGAGAGAGTTGGAATTGAGGAAGTGAGACATACGGGTAAAGACATGTCTTTCCAGATGCTTTGAGGAAAAGGAAGCAGGGATATGGGACGATAGTTAGAGCGGGAGGAAGGGTCAAGAGATATTTTTTTTCAGGCTACGTACTACAGTGGCATGTTTAAGGTCAGCAAGGAAAACGCCAGAAGGGAGAGAGCAGTTGAAGATGTGTGTAAGGAAGGCACAAGACAGGGGGAGAGAGATCTGATAAGGTGAGATGGGACAGGATCGAGCGGGTAAGTGGTGGGGCGAGAGGAAAGGAGAAGCGCAGCCACCTCTTGTTCAGTAGCTGGGGTTGAGAAAGAGTAGTGTGGTTGAGAAAGAGAATGGCAAGGTGGGGAGAATTGTTTCCTTAGCTGTTCAATCTTGTCGGTAAAGTAGCATGCAAAGCTATCAACTGTAGGGTTTGTTTGGGGGTGGCCACAGCAGGACGAAGAGAGTTAAAGGTGTCAAAGAGACTCCTTTGATTGTGGGATCATAAACTAATGAGAGAGTAAAAGTATGACTGTTTGGTGAGGGCAAGCTCTCTCTCATCCAGATCTCAATAACTACTGAACTGTTAAAAGGCTTATTGTCAGTCGAAAAGCCATGGTTATCACCTTTCAGCAGATATTAAATCAACTTCTTATTGTTACAAGTATGCCACAAAATATATATGCAAGGCCACTGTAGCAGAGCTCCCTGTACCCTGGCTGGATACCTGCGCAAAGGACCGCTTTCTAGCTGGACAATCTCAGCGCTTCTGCTCTTGTTTCCGTGGCTTGACTGGGGTGGTCCTGGAGCCTCTCCATCCTGGAGCAGGATAGGGAACTTGCTCTATTCCCTCCCAGGGACTGGACAACGCGCAGTCCTGAGAGCTCTAGTCCTTACAAGGCTCTAGTCCTTATAAGGACTGTATGAACACAATATAATATAGGTGAGGGTAGTGTTATATGTGGAGATGGCCAGTGAGGGACAGGAGAGGAAAGGGATGGATAGCAGTTGTGAATCAATATCAGCTGACAGCTGATGGAGGTCACTAGAATTAAGGGTCCTCCTGAGTTGAGGGGTGTTAGATACTGTACATGCATAAGAGAAAATTAGGTCAAGGGTATTGCCAGCTACATGGGTGGGAGAATTAGCCCACTGTGATAGCCCAAGGGAGGAAGTAATTGAAAGTAGTTTAGAGGCTGCTGAGGTCAAAGGTGGATTAATGGGAATATTGAAGTCCAGAGAATTAGGGATGGAATATTAGAATAGAGGAAGTAGGGTAGCCAGGCAGCAAAGTTGTCAAGGAAGAGAAGAGGGGAACCAAGGGGGCGATAAATAACAGCAATGTTAGCAGAAAAGTGTTTGAAGAGGCAAATTGAATGAATTTCAATTGATGAGAAAGAGAGAGAAGGGGGGTACAGGTTTGAAGGAGCATTGAGGTGAGATGAGAATCCATATATCATCTCCTTTACATTCAGAGTGTCTTGGGTTGTGGTTAAGTTAAACATCACCAAAGGATAAAGATGCAGGGGTAGCAGTGTCAGAGGGGAAGAGCCATGTTACTGTTAAGGCTAGTAAATCTAGGGAACAAGAGATGAAGAGGTCATGGACAGCAGTGGATTTTGTAATCTTGCAATTCCAGAGGGCACTATTTAGAGGAAGAGTAACATGAGATGGGTATGAGATTGGTGTGGTTCCTTGAGTTAGTACTTAGTAGTTGAAAGATAATACCTTAGGCCAGTGTCCTGTTGTATAGAGATGAGAGTTCTGAGCCTTTAATGTGTAGGGTCAGTGTTTATCTTCAGTGTATTGAATGTGTAAAGTGCAGATAAGATCAAGAATAAATTACAGGAAAAATAAATTCCAAATGTGTTCTTATGTAATAACTTTTTTGTTGGAATACATAGCATCATAGTACACATCAAACAAACTGTCCTATTGAAGAATATAAATGTGCAGTGGGACATTGTAGGTCTACTGCCAATTCTCTTGGGGTGAAATGATTTCCATCCTGTTTAAGCAGTGTTAGGTCAGTCTCTGAGCTGGATAATATTGTTTTCATTTGTAGCTGTTACACACTTCTTTCCATTTCAATCCTAAGTATTATAATTTTTCATGTCTTATTTATTAGCAAATAAATATCACCATTAGCCTAAAAATTACAATTCAAGTAACGGCTGATATCCAATTGTCTGTTTCCATAGAAGCCACCTGTTCTCATGAGACATTTGTTAAACCCTTGAGGAAGCAATAACATTGCAATGCAAACGGCACCATGTAAGCATTAAACATGTCATTAGGACTGTATGCTTCACTTACCAAGATTCTACAACCACATGAATATAAATTCAATTATAAAGATGGATGAAACCTAATTTGTGCTATTCTCATGGTGTTTAGTCTACACCATTCCAGGTGAGCATGCCTAGAATATCATGTACATAGTATTTGTGTGAAGAATACACAGAAATGAATGTAGCATGGAATAACATGTTAAAGATAGGACAAAAATGTCTATAATTTTTTATGTCTGCTTGATTTCCCCTCAGTAAGCTGTAGTCTGTTTCTGTTTTTATGGCAATATATAAGCAGTTTACATTATCAATCACTAAACAGAGAATTGTGAGGGGAGTGCATGTTTTAGACCAAAATAACTGCACTTGAATACATCTCCAACAATAGCTGTGGTGGCAGCTAGATAAATTGTCACCATGAACATGCATTGCATCTGCCATATAGATTTTGATAACTTAGCATAGCATAGCGTGTGTAGTAGGCACTGTGGGGGGGTGGGGGTGGGGGGTTGGTATAGTAATAAAAGTGCCAATTTCTTTTCAAATATAAAAAAAATTCTTGTAAAATTTTAAAAAAGCAGACACAGTCTTCACAAAGACAAAATCAATAAAAAATGAAAGGATATGAATAGATTCAAAATTGGGAGTCCTTTTTTGGGGGAAATATGTCCAGCTACTAGAAGCAGTTGTAAAGAAGGTAAGAAGGTGAATTAAAATAATTAGTTATTCGGTAGGATTTAGAAAAGGCTTTTGGAATTAGCATATTGGAAGGAATTAGGGCATGCAGATAGAGTTTCTCAAACTGTCATATGGAAGTAAAAAAGTCCTTTAGTATAAAAATGTAAAGAGAAAAAAACAATTATCCAGAAATAGAGTTGGAAGTAGCCTAGAAAAGATCAAGAAGGGTAGGCTGTGTAGCAGTAAAGGATATAATGCAGGCCATCAGGAGGTATTATGATGATAGATGCAAAAAGAGCAGTAAAAAGTTTAAGTATTTTAAGAAAAACATGAAATGGGGGGGTGTCCTGATACTCCATGTGAGCAGTCGCATAGCTGGAGAGCTCCCGATGCCTGGATAGCTAAAGACCCGGTTACCCCCTCTATCAAGTTCCAATGGGGAATAAAAAGAAATCTACAGCCTCTCAAGAATATATGGAGCAGGGCTCCAGCAAAAAATCTGGACCTGGATCGGTATTTCCGAGAAAAAGTGAAAGCCCTGACTCACGATGAGGACAGCAACATGGCGGCGGCCCCACGAGATTCTGACTCACCTCCTCACAGTCCAGCGTTTTTGGACCAGTCAACCATAACCAGAGACACAGAGATAAAGGAGATGCTGCAGAATATTCCCTCCAAATCAGACCTTGCATCTATGTTAGCATGCCTGGAGGAATCGATGCAAGAACAAATTTCCAGTATCACCAGGGATTTGCACCACGTGGGAGAGTGGGGGAGTTGGAGGACGAAAATCTTCTTACTACAGCTGCAATTAAAGCTCTGGAAACAAGACAAGATGGCATTGAACAAAAATTTCTCACAATAGCCAGAAATTTCGAAGACTTAGACAATAGAAGTTGGCGTAACAATTTGCGCCTGTGAGGCCTACCAGAAGCCCAGGAAGCTTTGAAGATTTACAAGCCAAGTTACAGGCACTGTTTAATAATATTCTTCAGAGGCCTACAGACACTCCAGTCCTGCTAGACAGAGCCCACACTGCCTTGTGGCCCAAAGGCCTACCACAAGACAAACCAAGGGATGTCATCTGCAGAGTCCATTACTTTACATTGAAAGAAGAAATTCTGAGACTCTCCAAGGACTCCCCAGCAATGAGGCAAGGTAACCTGCAACTCCAAATATTCCCGGACCTGGCGTGGTCCACTCTACAAGGCCACAGCGTCCCTACGTCCCATAACAGGGCTTCTACAGGAGCGGAATATTAGATACCGCTGGGGATACCCATTTTCGCTGTTGGTGACCAGGGACGGTAACACATTTACCTTGCGGTCGGCGGCAGATGCCAATGATTCTCTCCGCCAACTTGGCCTACCCCAAATGGACATATCCGACTAGTACCTAGAGACACCGCAACAGACAACACAAGTACAGCCCCAGAGACAGTGGAGAAGATTCCCAACCGGTTCGAAGAGACCCACACCCAGACAGGCCTCGCAACTACCTAGCATCAGGCCGAGACGAGAACCTCCACTAACCTAAACCAGCGACAGTACATACTGGGACTTTGCCACAATGCATACAACCTTGAGGCTTAGTCTGATAAGATGGACATATTTTACCTGAATGGTATTGTATTAACAGGGAAGAGGGCAACCAATAGAGGGATATCGCGCATGTTGCACTACTCCCATTCTGCCTCTGTCCATTCCCTTCATTCTCCCCCCCATATACTGAAAGCTCTTGGCCACAACTCTTAAGCCCCTGATATACATTTAAGTGGCCATGTAGGCCTAGGCAATAACCCTAAATTACATGGGGAATGCAGGCCCTAGGGGGCATGATTGACACATTTCTTTTACATGAGGTACCTCGACAGTAGAGCCTATCTTGTATACCCACCCCCCCTCCTCCTTATCATTCTCCTAATACACCATCATAGGTAGAGGAATGAAGGTCTTGTTGTCGTCTTAGTGAGTAGAAGGGAGTGGGGACGACAGACAAAAATAGTGATTGGATGCATCTCAAGTTGATTTGTTATAATTACTATGTCATATATATGTTATTTGTACTCTAGATATGTAAGAGAATCCCCAAAACAAGGGAAAGAGGCATCAAATGTACTGAGAAAAATACCTTCCCATGGGCCCTGGCCCTAATCACTCACAACAATGTGGCCTCCCATATCAATTACATTAACCCTAGGTAACCAGGTTATACTCCGAAATATCTCCATTTGTCGGGAGCGCTGATGCAAGATAGGATTTGTCACACACGCGCTTCAGTATAATACCAATGATCCTCTGCGCAGTGAGACAACACCAAAATTAGACCATAAGTGTTTTATATCGATACTTCACCCCCAGCCAACCTTGTTGAGATAGAGCCTTACCATTTTGTCTTACAAAAAGTATATAATATTCTTCAGCCCCCTATCAGCCAACTGAAGGGGAGGACAACGGGACACACTCCGTCTCACTTATTGACGCAGTTGCGTCTTCACGTATTGCTAAAAATAGCAATCTTTTAAGTTTGTTATTGTAGTTAGTTCTCTCTTTATTTTTTGCTTTTTACCTTGTTTCGACATTGATTCATCCTGGGGTGGGTATAGCTGTTGTTCGAACCTAGGGCTGTTAAAAGTTGTTTATTTAACTAGACATAATATGGACAAAAGTAGCCTGGTGGGAGCCTGGTTGCTGGAGGGGAAGACCGACTGTCTCCCCTTTGGATACATAGCTGTGCTGCTGGAGGGTGAGACTGATCGTCTCCCCTTTGGACAAAGCACCATGTTGCTGGGGGACAGGACCAACCGTCCCTACCCCCTGTGGTTTGGGCACAGAGATTACGGTCCCATCTGCGCCGGTGGGGAACTTAGTGTCTCCCCTTGGTGGGCTAAGCTGCCGCTGGGGAGAGGGGGTAACAAGCTCCTCTCCCTTACACTCTTTCAGCCGCTGGGGAGGGGAGATACTGCTTTCCACTCCTTGCATTTCACACTGCCGCTGCAAAAGGAGACATTACTCTCTATTCCCTGCAAATCACACTGCTGCTGGGGATCTGAGCCGACCGCCCAGCATCCCTGTAGCTCACCCTGCCGCTGGGGAGGGAGGATGCTGCTCTCCTCTCCCTGCAAGGTACACTGCCGCTGGGGAGGGGAGACGATGCTCTCCACTCCCTGCACTTCACACTGCCGCTGGGGAAAGGAGACATGGCTCTCTATTCCCTGCAAATCAATCTGCCGCTGGGGATCTGGGCTGACCGCCCAGCATCCCTGTAGGGCCGGTGGAGAGACCTCGATCCCATCTCCACCTGCCGCCTGGGGTTCCTCTCAGTAAATCTCTATAATATCTTCCCAGCTGGGAACTGGATCTGCCGCTCTTCTTTTCTGTCGTGCCTTTTCAATGGAGTGGAATAGATGTTGGTAGTCCTGCTCCAGCTCCATCTTTCGGGTTGCTAGGTGGGCCAGGTCTTGCTCCACCTCGTGAGGGTCATCCAAGTCGTACATACGCTCCCTCTACTCAAAAATGTAATGGAACCGGGTTTGTGTAGAGCTCCCAAAATCAGGCTCCGAAAAAGACTCCCAGAACAAACCAAGGCCATCAAACTCCTCTCCCTCTGGCTTGTAATGCTCGGCTGTCCAAGGTATATACTGTGCTGCATACCACCAGAGTGCCTGGTAGGCATCTTCCAGCCAGAGCTCCTACCATACCCGGTGCTCCAGTTCCTTTATCCACTCCTCCAGGGGCTGCTTTCCCAGGAGGGGCATCCACAGTGCCACTCGTGTCTGCTGTCACTGCTCCTCACTGGAGAGTCCCTCGCCCCGCTGGTGCTGTATATTATCCAGTACCTGGTACCAGATGCCTTTGCAGATTGCATCTCGATCGTCCATGACACCCTCATCGTATAAAACTCCGCTTATAAAAATGTGGTTAATGACATTTACTGTCCACACAGGAAGTTGTGCTGAACAGCAACCAAATCCACAGAAGGGTTAATGCTGAGCAGCAATTATGCAACCTGGTAACTGCCTTTGGGGTCCAAGGCCGATTACAGCCTATCAGATCTAGAGGAGGGGTATTTAGGCTCAGTTCTCATCCTGCTCAGTGCCCTGTCGTGGTTTCCCTTGTGGTTGTCCGAGAGCGCGTTATTGATTCTGGTTATTCAGGTTTTTTGACTTTGGCATTGTTTTTGACTTCCCTGTTTTCTGGCATCCCTGACTCCTGGCTTTTCCTTATCGTTGTGTCTCTTTCTGTATCCCTTGACCTCGACTATTCCTGACTATACTTTGGAACGTTAGTCCGGCCATTCTAAGGTCCAGTATACGTTACCTATCCGTCCTCTGTGTTACACAATTCTACGTGCTGGATCATTCAATAATCCTGACAGAGTGACTGCAACTGGAGGTGTTCCTAGCTTTCAGTGTAAACACTGTATTTTCTCAGAAAATACAGTGTTTACATGAGAGGTTGCAGGGAGCTATAGTTTTCACCTGAACAACCTCATTAAGCTAAAGTTGTTCAGGTGACTATAGTGTCCCTTTAAGTTGTAGTTGTTCTGGTGACTATAGTATCCCTTTAACAATTAGAATATTTCATACTTCCTTGTCAAAGTTTTGTTAAATGTTTTTTTTTCTCTCTTCTATCTTTAGCCATAAAGTCATGAACCAAACAAAAAGCAATCATAATTGTTACGATTGCCCCCGGTCTAGCAGGAGGTTGGATCGCTTGGATGTCCTGGTTCCCGAAGTCAGAGAGTCGAACGGTGCTTCAATCGGTAGAAACCTGTAAGTGTAGAATATCCCACTAGCTATAGTAAAGCTAGGATTCCCGGTTCCCTACAACACGAGTCGAGGCTGCGAGTTGAGGGTAAAACGAACTGGCTTTAATGGCACACAAGCATGGCAATTTATGCAAGTCCCCAGATCCAGGGACAGCCCCCTATGGACCTGATGGGATACAGGTACAGTACAAAGATTCAACCAATCATAATACAATGTATCATTCAAACTAGTACCCGCCCAGCTTGGAGATAATGAGGCCAACGGTTATACAATCTAATTATCTCCAAGCGCCCAAAATACCATGCTTTATTGTGTCCTAGAAAACAGCATAAAAATATATAACTTTGACATTTTAGGGGGAATGTAGTTCATTCCACTATTCATTCGGTAGCTCAGACCTGGATGCATCAGGTATACGAATTGTGCCCCGATCCCACAAACAGAACGGGGGGTTTCTGCCATAGAAAGTCTTATTCGGCACTTTGGTCGAGAACCCCTGATGGCGGCCATGTTTTGAGGCTGGTCAATGGACAGCGAGACCTCGACCTAATACTTATGGAGCGTGGGTCGGATACATATTTACACGAATCCCCGCTCTCAGTCTGGTTTTCCCGGCCGTTCAGGAGACGAATGGAGATGAATGGAGACCGCCCAGAAGGGGATACTTAACCTGCGGTTAACCACAAGAGCAACGTTCTAATTGTTGCCACATGCCAGAATTTAGGTGGTCCCTGTTCATGAGTCTTTCGGCGGCTTCCCTTCTGGGAATTGCATACGAACGTGGGTCCCCTGGGACCATCAATTAGTTGGTGGTTAACCGCAGACCGCAGCGCCTTGTGCGGTTAATGAGAGGCACACTCCGCTCGTAGGGTGGTCGGTTATTCGGTACTTTTAGAGGTGACGGGGGTTAAGTGGTGGCACACGCCAAGGGCTGGGTGGTCCATCGTTCGTACAGACGAATGTGTCTTTATAATGGTTCGTGCAATGCGTTCGTACAGTCTGAATGCTGACATAATAGGGGTTTTAATCGAAAAGAGGTTATGTTGTAATAGTACATAGAGTCCTTGTAACCGTGCTCCCTCCTTGTGCAACAC